GAAGTGCTTTGAGACGTCGAGAAGACGTGAAAAGCGCTAAATCAAATGCAAGGATTATTACTCGTTTAACCAGTACTCATTTAGCCAGTTTTAATAGCTCAATCATACACTTTTTCAATAGCTCATGGCATTGCTAACTTATTTTGGAAACCCCAGGCTCTATTCAAGCTAGTTCAAATCTATGCAAGAAAGAGGCGTAAGACGAATTTTGCACTGAGGCATAAGAATTTTCCACTATGCGGTGTGACCTTTGATCAAGCGCTGTCTCGCTTATAATGCAGGTCTGCTTCACTATACGCAACTGGATACTTCATAGTTTCAGAGTACTATCAATAGTCACAGTTGAAATCTGTAATAGTTGTCTTTGGCCCTCGGCAGAAGTGGAGAATTATCCAGGAGGGTATTGGACAGAATTTTTTCTATTGAGTTTAAGTCCTTACAAAATAGGCTGTGTTTGCATAATTGATGTGTTTTGACCCAATTTTTGTTGACACAGGAGGGAGAAGTACGAAATGTGGGTGTTTCCTCTATCAAACTTATATCAGATCATTGTCATGTATAGTGACTGTTTATGTTGACAAGATTAAAGACTGCTAAGGCACAAACATCAAATGGGAATTAGAAGGGCAGGGATTACGTTTAAATATAAGCAAGAGGGACATTTACTGTATACAAGTAACCCAACTTGCAGAAAAGGAAGTAAGAACAATGTTTTATCCTATTTTTGTGCATACAAATTCTGGTGTTTTGGGAAAAAAAGTTATCCAGGGGGGAAAAACAGTTGGTTCCTTTATTTGTCATATCCTTTAAAAAAGTTAATTGTAGGTTGGAATATTTCAAATATAAAATACTCGGGCAAGTAATATGGGAAGTACAATGCTAAAGTCTCCTACCTGGTGGAAAATCTATTTTAATTATCTTCAGCATTTGAAGACATGTTATTAATGTTTTGCTTTATTCTGCATAATGAAAGACCTACAACCATAAGGACTTTAAACGTTAAATGGAAAAAATGATTCACGCATTTGGGAAAATCTTTTATTAACTGACCAGAAATTCCTGCATATAAACAATGGCCTATTTATTATCACATATTACAGCACTACATAATTCTACTATAATTTCTCAGTGCCTGTTATTTAATGGTTTTAAAGATGAATAATGTATCTTTGGAACCGTTTACTGTGAAAAATTATCCCTGTACAAAATTGAAAACTTTCTTCATGAGCTGATTAAATGCAGCAGTAAAAAATCATTTCAAGGCTGCTACCTGGTCAACAGGTGTTTGGATGCTTTTGATATAAAGCAATGAATCGTTTATTGGATATGCAACAACAATGTACATTTATACAGCTGGGATGACGTCTTGAAGTAGTTCACACCACTGCATGCAATCATATGCAGTCTTTTGTGAGCAATATTTAATGTTTCCTGAAAATTAAAAGCTCTTTTGTTATTTAAAAGAGAGAATGCTGGCGAGGAGGACACAGTAGCTATCTTCAGTTCTTTGTGAAATACACATAAGTAAGTAAGGTGATTGGTACTTTAGGCTGAGGTATCACCATAACAACAAATTGCATTTATAGAGCATTGGGAGGACGTCCCAAGACGCTGGACACTTGAAGGTTTGAATTCAAGCTGGGGGTAGGATTGAGAGGTGGAGCCAAGGGAAGAAGCTGCGTGGGTCAAAGAGGACGGTCTTGAGATGGACCTTGAAGGAGGTGAGGGAAGTGGCAAGGTGAAAGGATTCCCGCATGGAGTTCCAGAGAGTGGGGGCAGAAAGGCTGAAAGCCCAAACACTGATGGTGAGGCTGGCAGGGCAAGGGACATGAAGTAGCCCAGTGCCTGCTGAGTGGAGGGAGTGGACAGGTTGGTTGGGTTGGTACTAGTTTCTCAAGATTATCTTGAACAACAAGACTAATCTGAAGGAGCTACATTTTCTTTACTTCTTTTTGTTGTGAGCATAGACTTTCTGCTAAACTTCTTGACTTTTGCAATTTTTCCTGGTATGGGCACTAAGTTTCCAATTTGTGTTTAAAGAATAATCACAAGACCACTTTTGGATAAAGAAACTCCTTCAGCCCATTTGGTTTCACTGTTCCAGGAACTAACCATATCATTTTTCTTCACAACATTTTACAACTGTTTCTAAAATGAGTCTAGCCTCTTGGCCTCTGCCACTTTTACTGGTACCTTCTTCCAACTGTTAATTAACCTCTGTGTTAATTACAGCTGTTAATTGCATTCAGTGAAGAGGTTTATTAAAAGGGTACAGCCAGAGGCCCGAGAAAAATAAACAGTGCCTTTTACGCTAAGATTGCTTTATCTATCATTAAAACCAAAATTAAAAGTGGAAAGTGATAATGATATTCCTTGCATTTGATATAGTGCCTTATCACGTCTTCGAGACGTCTCAAAGCAATTCACAGAATATACTGTAAAGTGAATTGACTGTATATTTTGTGGGCGAAACGTAGCAGCCAACTGTAACGTTTTGCCCTGCCGGGGGAATCGAACCCCGGGTCCTCTCGCTTGCGAGGCGAGTGCTCTAACGAATGCACTACAGGACTTCACAAGTACAGAAAGTGATGATTTGGTTTGTACAATTGGTTGTATAGTGTTGCAATTGGTCAGAACTGTCTGAAAGAAAGGGGGAAGGTTCTGGTTTGGTAGAGAGCAATTAGTAGAACTTTTGCAGAATGTGATATTTAAAATTAAAATAGTTACCTGAAAAGGAAGAGGTTAAGGAAAATCAAGAAACGGTTTTGGAAATTGGATTGAACGATCTACCATGATCTATTAAAATAGTTGAAAAGGCTTGGTGGGCTTGGATAGCATAATCCTGTTACAACAACAAGATTACATTTGTGTAGCGCCTTTCACTTCAGGAGGATGTTCCAAGATGCTGGACAGCGTACAGCATTTCAGAACCGAACTGGGGTCAGGGAGGGAGGGGAGGAGAAGGGGAGTGGCTGATGGCATGGTCGAAGAGGAGGGTCTTGAGGCGGGACTTGAAGGAGGCTAAGGAGGGGGCGAGACAGAATGATTGGGGGATGGAATTCCAGAGGTTGGGGGTAGAGTGGCTGAAGGCTCTCCCGCCAATGGTGGGGCGGGTGGGTCGGGGGACGTGGAGCAGGCCGGAGCCGGCTGAGCGGAGGGAGCGGGCGGGTTGGTAGGGGGTTAGGAGGTCGCAGAGGTAGGGTGGGGCGAGGCCATGGAGGGCTTTGTAGGTGAGAACCGGGATCTTGAACTGGATCCTCTGAAGAGTGGGGAGATGGTGTCACGGAGTTTGGTGCGGGAGAGGACACGGGCTGCAGAGTTCTGGATTATCTGCAGCCTGTGGAGGGAGGAGTTGGGAAGGCCGACAAGCAGGGCGTTTGCATAGTCGAGCCTGGAGGTGATGAAGGCATGAACAAGAGTTTCAGCGGCCTGAGGGGAGAGGTAGTGGCGGAGTCAGGCGATGTTACGGAGGTGAGGGAAGGCAGAGCGGGTCATGGCTTGGATGTGGGGAAGAAAAGACAGTTGAGGGTCGAACAAGACACCAGGTCCCTGACTGGCTGGTGAGTTGTAGTGTCAACCATGGAGGTTGATGTTGCCAGAGCCTGAGGTGCTGAGGCGCTGACGTGAGCCAATCAGGAGGGCCTCAGTCTTGTTCACATTCAACTAAGAAATTTGCCCTCATCCAGGACTTGATGTCCGACAGACAGTCTGTCAGGACAGCAGTGGTCCTGGAGTTGAGGGTGGAGGCAGAAAGATAGAGTTGGGTGTCATCCGCATATATAGGAAGTTGACCCCATGTCTGTGGATGATGTCACCAAGGGGGAGCATATAGATATTAAAGAGGAGAGGGCCAAGGACAGAGCCCTGGGGGACCCCAGACGTGACAGTGCGGGGGCTGGAGGAGAAACCATCAGAGGCAACAAAGTGGAGATGGTGAGAGAGATAGGAATCGAACCAGACAAGGGCAGGTCCGTGAAGATTGAGTAAAGCGGAGAGGTAGTGTATGAGGATGGAGTGGTCGACAGTGTCGAAGGTGGCAGAGAGGTCGAGGAGGACAAGGAGGCAGAGGGAGCCCTGATCACAGATGTTCAGAATGTCATTACTGCTTTTATCTGAAAATCTGAAAGATTTTGGTATAATCTGTAAGGTGTTGGTGGTCTGGGAAAGAACTAGCTTGATGAGCTGAATGTCCTGGTATGCCTTATAGTATTAGTATTTCAAAGTATCAGTGGCAGAGTCTGTATAAAGCCTTTATTTTCAATTTATTTAAACAAGAACTATATGGACACAAACCCTAGCAATTGTTTGTTTTGCAGTTTTTTTTATAATAATCAAAAAGAAAACCGGGGCAACCTTTTTGAATTTTGAAACTTTTAATAGAAAAGTTCCAAAATGATCTCTTGTAATTCTTCTCTTCAGAGGACATTTTGCATAAATTGAATTTTTTTTAATATTTCAAAACAGATCTTAATTTGTCTTTCATGTTCCTGCATGTGTGCTTCATTGAAGTCCAAATTCATCTCCTTTCGCTGGTTTATCAAGTTTCTTGCCTCCCTTCGTTTTCCCTTCTTGTTACATTCCATAGCGATTTAAAAACACAATCCTGACCTTGACGGTTTTCTGTAAATTAGCTGAATAAAACAAAATGGCCGATGGAGACCTCTAAGGGGAATTTTTTCTACCTAGTAATTGTTGATTTATTATAGTTTTGAGGTACTGTCTTCATACAGTTTTTTTTGTTTTTGTTTCCTGTCTTTTACATAATTTCCACTCTAAATTTGATCACTATTTATGCATCTGAAACTGGATTTGACCATGCATGGTTGGGGTATGTGTGTATTTTATTTGCTTATGGAATAATTTGGCAGTTTTGTCATTTATTTTAAACAAATATAAACAAACAAACATATAGCTAAAGCTAATTTTAAAACTAAAAGACGATAATAAGTATTTTAAAAAAATATTCTGCACATTACTTTGTATATTTCTGTTCCCTTTAGATGTAAAACAAAACTGTATCCTGAAACCCTGCCAAAGACCAGTGTGGTGATAGTTTTTCACAACGAAGCATGGAGCACCCTGTTACGCACTGTGCATAGTGTGATGAACAGGTCGCCGAGACAACTACTAGAGGAGATCATTCTGGTGGATGATGCCAGTGAAAGAGGTAAGATAACATTTACAAATGGTAAAGGAAGTGGCTGTCAAATATTCCTAAAAATACCCAGAGTAGGAGTTTGGAGAGGAAGTGGATAAACAAGATGTTTCCATAGTAGGTTTCTTGTGTTTCAATTTCAGTAGTGACTGTTTGAAACAATAAGTGAGGAAAACAAGTCTTATTTTGCTGACTGGGAGCAGTTCCATGACTAGATTATCAGGTTGATAAAAGGGTATTAGTCAAATATAGGTTTTAAGTATTTTTCCCTTTTCACAATAATTTAGTTTAAATATAATTTATGCAACTGTAAAGCAGTTTATCATTTGCTTTTAGATGAATGTACAAATAAGTTATGGAATATTTAATTTACAGAAAAATGTAACCAAATAAAAGTGCACTGGTCCCCCGATGGTAATGCTCTATCAAACTCAAACAGGATAACCCCATTATACCATGCTGGTATGTGTCCATGAGCTCAGATCCCTGCATCAAAAGGAAGTGTGAAGAAATAGCCAAACTCTGGGACATCACGGCACTGACCTCACTTCTTGCACGCTATGAGCAGGCAGCATCTCTGATATCACTTTCTGTTCGCTGAGAATGTATGCTTACTTCCTTCATGAACTGAGGTCAGGCACTTCCTGTGGTTAGTGCAGGACACCAGAGGCATCCTCAGTTGTGCATGTGCAATGTGCATGAACTGATATAAGCAACAACCTGACAACCCAGAAGTGGCTATTGTTTTAATGTAGAAAGACAGCTGGTCAGTGCTAGAAATCAGGTGTCCTGCGCTTCCAGTACAGTGTATGTCCACAATACACAGTACATAATGCTCCAGACAGTCTCATGTTAAAACAGTTGGGGTTCTGATGGGGCTTGGTATTGGGACGTGTTTACTTATGCCTTCCTCTCTAACAGAGAGATTATATCCATTATAATCTTTAAATCCTTCATCGTAATCTCAGATTAGCTCTAGAATATTTTAGAAGGACATAAGGTTGATATAATCAAATACAGATACAAGGATATTATATTGTCCTTCTGTGAGCTTTCAAACTCAGCCACTGCACCCTGGAACTTCATTCCAGAGTCATTCTGCCTTGGTCACGTCTCTGCCCACCTTTAAAACCTGCCTTAACACAATTCTTTTAAACTGCTCTTTCGGGCACCTTTCTTATACCCCACCTACTCCTCAGCAGCCACCAGCTTGAGCTCCCTGTCATCCGAATGAAGCGTTTCGAACATTCTTCTTTTGTGAAAAGCACTGTAAACAATTGTTATGCTTCTCTCTTTGCTGGCTCGTGCACACAGCATGGGTGACTTGTAGGCCTAGTAACCTCATGATCATGACCACAACTGGATTTTCTTTGCTGATATAAGTCTACTTCTGCATTTGAGCCCAGTGCAGATAATATTCCTTGCAATTAAGTGCATATGTGGATAGTTGGAGAAAATGCTGTGTTCTACTGTAATTTATATTCTGTAGATGCTTCAGCTGTATCTGGATGATGGCAATGACTGGCTTTCAGGATTGTCTACAAAAAGTAGAAGGTCAAGAGGGAAAGACGGAGAACATAAGGTTTGAAGCATAACATAATGGTTCTTAGTAATTCTATTAATTTGGTCTCCTGGAATTTGAAAGGAATTAAAAATCCAGTCAAGTGCTTTAAAATTCTGTGATGCTTAAGCCGATTTAGACTGGGCTGGCCTTTATACCAGAGACTCAGTTAGATGAGAAATAATCTTTTACGAGTTAAGATGTCATGGGTGATGGAATTTTAACTGAAGAAAAACAGAGAGTGGCATTATTGATAAATACGTATTCCATTTAAGATGAACAATCTGTGAACACCCCAGAAGGGAGATGGATTTTAGTGACTGGTTCCAAGCCTGAATCTGCCAGGTGAACATATTCATCCTAATGTTTGAGAGACACGGTTACTGGTGTTCACCTCTTCCAACATTGAAGAACGCCCCAAACTTGCATGAATTGCAGGTGGAGATATTGAATTGGTGCTGACCAAACTTTTGATTGTTCACAAGAAATTCATAGAGACTTTGTGGAGGGACAGAAAATTATTTTGGTTGTAAAATTGGCCTGATCGTTTCATGAAGGCTACACCAACCTGCTACACTGTATTTCACCTATTGCTTTCTTTACTATAATAATAATAATCATCCTTGCATTTGATACAGTGCATTATCACATTGTTGCGACTATGCAGTGTATTATATAGTTTCTGGATATTACACGATATATCACAGGTTGATTACCTCGGAAGAACTCCTTTGGGAACATCCCTCATGTCAGTAATATGGGGGCACATTATATAATCTGCTTCATTAAGCAGAGAAACTGTTCTCAGTGAAGGCTGGGATCCATCAATTAATGTTGCAGCACAAAACATCCTATTCAGACAAAAACCTTAAGAGACCTGAATAACTGAAGTATATAACCCCAGTGCTGACCGAATAATTGAATTAATGCTGTTTTGGACGAGGCGATGGTTATTGATTGTGCAGATTAAGCTGACAAATTGCTGGCTAGACAACTAAAAGAGACAAAGGCAGTGACAGCAATAAAGAATATTGAAGTAGAGCTGGGAATCCCTGGGAAAATTAAATGGGAATCTTATTACTGTGAATTCTATAGACATTGCTACCAATACAAATCCTAGGCAGGAACTTCAGTTATGAAAAATCTGTTGAAAATTTATTCCAAAATTAGACCCATTACTTAATGGTAAATTGGAACATCCCATAGACTAGTATGGTAGAAAAGATAATTAGGGACATGCAAGGGATTTAGTTAAATTCACAGCAGAATTTTACAAGAAAATTCTATCTTAGCTCGAACCAGTATGAAACGACTTAAACAGATGTTCCAGGGTTCTAATTGTTTTAATACATTATACAAAAAGAGTGCTTTTATTTCATTGTTAGCAGAAAATGAAACACTCTACTCGCTGTGCTAGCAACAGGCTACTATAAGATATTGCAATTGTTCCTCCTCCTTCCAATGGTCCAAAATGATCAAACGAATTTTGTGAAAAATGCTTAGCATTTTGTCAAATTGAGGAAAATTGGATGCATAATATCAGATGCCATATAAACCACTTCTCATCATCATGACTAGTCAGCGGACTCCAAGGTGTTACGCTTAGCCTTCCTTCTACCCCCATCCTCCCTGCCCTTCACCCTTCCTGATCCCAACCCTCAGCTCAGGTGTACATTTTTGACTGTCTAGTGATTTGGGACGTCCTCCTGACGTGAAAGGAGCTATACAACTGTAATTTGCTGATGTTGAGTACTTCCTGAGCAGAGCAGGGCACTTTTTTGTTATTCTACTAGAGGGGACAGGATTGGATGGTTTGAAGGTAACAGGAATGCAAGTGTTGGATAGTTTATTCTTGATTTAAACATAAAAATATAATTCATGCAAAAGCTTAAACTATGGAAAGAGAAAATTGGCATTCATTCAATCAAGTCATTGCCGAGCTTTCAACTAACTCTTCACTCACTATACTTGATATGAATGTTTGATACTCATAAGTGAGCATTTGGCAACCGCCTTGACCCGAGCACCCCCTCCGCTCTTATTACTCCCACTCAGTCCTTCTTTCCTACCGCTCTCCCTGTCTTCTCTCCCTCCTGGACCCTCCCATAGCCTCCCTATGCTCCAGCTGGGCATCCTCCGCCGGGCTCACCGCAGACATTTCTGATCTGATTATCACAGACGAGGCCATCTCAGACCACTTCCTCCCTTTCTTCTCACATCACCAAGCCCTCCACCATCTTTCTCCACCCACCAAAGCCGGCGAGATGACCCAGGGCTCCCTCTGCCTCCTTGTTCTCCTGGACCTCTCTACCATGTTCGACACTGTCAACTGCATCACCCTTCACTGTTTCTCCTCCCTCACCTGCCTTAGCGGGACCGCATTTGCATGGTTCGCGTCCTATACCACAACTGGCAACAATACATCTCGGCAAATGGTTTCTCCTCCCACCCCCGCCCAGTCACCTGCGGGGTACCCCAAAGCTCCATCCTTAGCTCCCTTGTTTTCCTCATCCCTCTCGGCGATGTCATCCGAGTCAACTTCCACATGTATGCAGATGACACCCAAATCTACGTTTCTTCCTCCAGCTGCGAATTCCAGTCCGCTGATGTCCTGTCAGCTTGTTGGATGTTTATCACGACCTGGATGAGCGCAAATGACCTGCAGCTGAATGTCGGCAAAATGGAAGCCATACTCTGGCTCCCGTCAACATCTTTTCTCCTGCGGGTCCGAACTCCTCAACTTCCTCGGGCTCTCCCTCAGACTCACTGAACCCGTGCACAACTTAGGTGTCACGTTCGATTCCCAGCTTTCCTTTCTACTCCACATCCATTCCCTGATCAGGACCACTTTTTTCCACCTCCGTCACATTGCCCACCTCCGTCCGTACCTCACAACTAACGCAGCCGAAACCCTCTTCCTCGCCTTTGTCACTTCCCGTCTGGACTATTCCAACGCCCTCCTCTTTGGTCTCTCCAACTCCACCAAAAAACACCAATCCTTACACCCTCCACTGGTCTCAATTACCGAACGGATCAATGACAAGATCTCTCACTTGTTTTCAAATCCCTTCGTGCCCTGGCACTGCCTTACCTATTCGATCTGCTTACCCCTTACTCCACCACCGTTGCCTCTACTCAGCTGGCTCCGGCCTGCTGTTTGCCTCTCGCCCCTCCACTCCACCATCGGTGGCCTTGGCTTCAGCCACTATGCCCCGAAACTTTGGAACTCTCTCCCTCAATCCCTCCGCCTTGTCCCCTCCCTCCCATCTTCAAATCCTGCCTAAAGACCTTCCTTTTTGATCGTGCTTATATTCACCTCCCCCCTCGCTCTCCCCCTGGCTCGGGGTCAGACTCCACCACTGTCAAGTGCTCTGGGTCACTGCCGCATGAAAGGTACTGTGTAAATGCAATTTGTTGTTTTATTGTTGTGCTTAAACCGAGGTCCCGTCTG